TTGGCACTGCCTGCTAGCTGCAAAAAAAGCCCTCCTCTCCCTGCCTTGCTTTTGTATCACTGTACCTGACAAAAAGATCTTGAAAGCTTACACATGTTTTTGTGCCTTTCTGGTTGGCCTAATAAAAGTACTGTCCACGTTCAGACTCTAGAATCTCTGATCAATGAAGTTCAATAAAGATGACAGGCTCTGTAGGAAAGCAACATCACTTTGAAGCACAAAGACCACAGTTCTGTTTATGTTCCAAGGACTCACAAGATGCACCATAGAAGTATTAAACAAATGTAAGACAATACATTTGGTTGGACAGTGTCATGGAAGCTACCAACATGAATTTGACCTGTGACAAAGAGTCACAGGACTTAATGACTAAATAACAACAAAGACAATACAACTCTCATGCATGGCCTGAAAGTACTCAACATTCTTAAACAGAAGCTTCCCAAACATTTGGCTTTTTCTCTAAATCTCTGAAAGAAGAGGCAGTTTAACAATTAAGTTCTCATTTTGACCATGAACTGAATTAAGAGGATTCTGTAACATGGCAGAAAATATATTTCCTTGCCAAAGGCTGGATTCTTTTTTGCAAAACAAAACAGACCTCACTGAGTGGCAATTCAGCAGCAATTTCCTGTGAAGATAACACAGGAAAGGAACAAAGCATCTGCTCCATTCTGCTCAAACATTCACATTATAATTCTAAGTGCTCCAACTGCTGAAATTAAAAAAATCAAACTATTTCAATTGAAGAGCCAGAGTATAATTTTTTATATAGCCACACATACAGGCCAGTATTTCAACACTTGCTTAGATTTTGTTGATGTGCCCTCTGGTAATCCCTATCCACAAGGGCAACTTGTCTATTAGTCATCACTTTTCTTGTCAATTCAATACTGCTGGGATTATTTATTTATTTATTTATTTATTTATTTATTTATTTATTTATTTATTTATCTATCTATCTATCTATCTATCTATCTATCTATCTATCTATCTATCTATCTATCTATCTATCTATCTATCTATCTATCTATCTATCTTATATGCCACCCACTCTACCCAAAGGTCTCTGGGCGGCTTAGAACAATTAAAATTCAATTAAAATACAATAAAAGATAAAATGTCAGATATCAGTCAGATATCAGAAGAGTGTTAAAAATCAGCACTTTGATTCACATATCTGGTGATTCAACCAATTCAAAATCCTGTCTCAGACAGCAGCAAGCAAAACAGTTTCTTAGTAATTGCAGATGGGAAGACCATTTTATCACTGATACATATCAACAGTGTGTTTCATCTTTGTTTTTAAAAAACGCAAAACTCAAACTTACCAGACAATCATGTGGCAATACTGTTCTCACTATACATGGTTTTTAAAGAGACCTTCCAGTTATCTGTCTTACTAATGATATCACAAAACAAATCATATGCAGAAAATCTCACATGGACACACTAGGGGCTCAAATGATATTACCCCTAACTTCATAAGAGAGACTGAAAAAAGAACAGCATTTGTGAACCAAAGTCTCCCATCTTATGCATCCTTTCTTAAGAATAAGCTTCATTGAATTTTGGGATCTTCAAAGTAAAAATGCATTGACTCATGAGAATATCAGGAACACATTACAGTCAGAAAAGAACCTGACATGCATACAAAGCATTCAAATGTTAAACAAGAAAGAGAGGAAACTGGCCTACAGCTTCAATTGTACATTCACATTTGACACTGACTTAATCCATCACATTTAGTAAGCTCAGTTAATTGCCTTACAAAGTCTTTTGAATACCACAATTCATTAGTCTCCCCCCACACACAGATGGTATACAGCCAAAAGACGTGGAAATCTGATCTATAGACAGATTGATTACAAACAGAGCTTTGGGAAAGTTACTTGTTTGGACTTCAACCCTCCAGAACACATGTTAGCTTGTAGACTCTGGGACTTATAATAAATAAAGTAACTTTCTGAAGGAAAAAATATTGTGGGTCCTTATTAAAAGAAAGGTCATGCCATTTATTCTGACTGCTGGTTTGGAAAGACAGTTCAAAGCTGAACCGAACTCAAAACTCAGACACAAACCAATTCAAAGTTTATTGTCAAGTCCATATACCTAACAGAAGAAAAATACAAACCACTAAATTTTGAATATATCCAGAGTGATCAGCAATAGCCATTATCTCTCAGTGCAACTAAATGCCAGACAGACATCTTCCAGACAGAAAGTTTATTGCTTGAACATGTAGCTTAAAAAGGTGTCTACATTGCAATCTCTTTTAAAACAGAATGAACAGGTGGAAAGTTGTTCTCCTACTGTTCCTATAAGTTTAGTATCTCTGATCAAAAAGTATTTTCCTAAATTGGCCTTCTAATACCTAAAATCCGGTATGACAAGAGTAAATGCTCTTTATGACTAACACAGGTTGCTAACAGATTACAGCAACAAAGAACACAAAGTTTTACTACTGTATTTTGCTGCTAGTTTAAAAGATAGATACTGTAGTGGCCTAAAGAAGGGAAACAGACTTAAAGAAGTTGCATGTAGCAAGTTCTCTGTCACTCATCTCTGAAGACAAAAATCTGTCAAATTTATTTACCTTCTCAACCCTCAAAATTGCTTCTACAAGGAAAGACAATTTGGAAGAACCAAGTGGTACAAACTTCTACCAACTATTTACTGAAGAACCTGCTAGACACATTAGTTTAAATGTTGCCCTTATTTAGGCATAAAGGGCACATTATTCCTTTTCTGATTCATGAGCAACCACATGAAGAAATCAAGACATTGGTCATTATTATTAAAGCATTAACTGTTCACAGACAGCATACTGAAGGAACATTATTTCCCAAATGCAACTTTTGGTAGAAATACACTGCTCCAGGATAATGGATGGCCCTATTCAACATGCAGTCTCAAACAGCAAAATTCTAGAATTCAGTATTCAACTTCTGAAAGAAACCATCAATAAATTCCAAAACATCCTCTGTCAATTCTTCAGATAGTATGGGATGATGGTTCCACACCTGAATCTACCCCCAATGCCAGCCTTTCTGTTGATTCATGGAAAACAGGAAAAGGTCTGCAATCCGGAAATCACTCAGGCGGAATTCCTATCCTGCAGAAAATTCCTTACAAGACATTTATTTACAGTAATTTCCATGCTCCTCTTCTAACCCTGTGGGAACCCAAAGCAGCTTACAAAAAATGTTTAAAAGCCACAAAATGAAAGCAACAACATTTTGAAACAAATGACAGCAACCATGTCAGCTCACAGTCTTACTGGAATTTAGAAAACAAGAATAATCTCATTTATCTTAACTACCCGCATAGTCTTCAATACTGTGATTAATATTTTTTTATCCGACAGGATTATCTATTGCAATATTTTTATGTTACCCCTGAACTTTATTTTCATAAAAAGATAGATAAAAAAAATCTGTAATGAAAATCTGCCTACAAAACTGAGGTGTCTTCCTTGTCAGCAACAACTCTTTAGGGTTTTTTCAAGACAAAGTTCCCAGACCTTCTGCTTTTAGAGAAACACCTAAGACTTTTGTATAAGCAAACATGCTTAGGACTGGGTGGTAAGATTGTGCCTGCCATAGTTATTTGCAAGAAATAACAAAGAAGCAAATTCCGCTCCTGCTGTTCAAGCCCAGCTCTCCATTAACAAGGGGGAAGGGGGGGACCGTTTTGAAACACCATGAACTCTCAGTTCCACATGCCAGACATATAAAACACCTTGATTTAACATTTGCTCTTCTACTGCAAGATTAACTTAAAAAGTCAGTTGATTACAACTATTGTACAAAGTGTTTTTGAGGGACAGAGAGCAGAACAGTCCTCATGTCTACCTTGATCTTTTCACTGCCATGTCACCTTCGAATTTTAACAACATACATACAGAATGCAGTCTTCATCCAAATCCTTTATGGAAGTGAGGTGAGAATAAAAGGAGAGTGCTGCCATGGGCTGGCTGAAACTGGCTGAAGCAAGAGCCAAGAAACTTGTCCAAGCTGCAAACAGCTAGGGACGTTGCAAGGTGACAGCAACCGAGAGAGAGGCCGAAGGTGTGTTTACAAGACCACATACTTTGGAACACAATCACTCATCTGAAATGACACAAGTGCCATTGAGTGAAGCCACACACCTCAGGCTGCATTTACTATATACATACAGATAACTGCCAGTAAATCACACCGAAGCAGAACTCACATGTGAAGCACACCCTGAAATGTAACAGCATGACTAAAATCCTGAAACACACTTTTTAAGGTGCAACACCCTTTGAGCTCTCTGGGGTCTGTGCTGGAGTAAACCCCTTTAGGACCAGGTTGCCAGCATACAGTTCTACATAGTGCTTTCTTTAGCAGAAAAGTCTGACTAAACTGAATGAATCATGGTTTCTGGTTAACCTTGCACAGGGTCGGCTTGCGAAGACCATCGTGGCTAACCCTTAACCCCACATATTTGGTAGCATGAACCACTGAACTCCCAGAAGGTCTTACTTCTGAGTAGACAAGGGTAGGGCTGAGCTGCCATAAAAGAAAGATCTAGACTGCCTGGAGGTTTGGTGGATTGCTCAATCTCTCTCTTTTCCCCCCAAAAGATGTAATTATTGTAATTATTATCTCTAACAGACAAAGCAACGACTCTCTCACGTTAAACTCTCTGGAAGGCATGCCTTCCCCATCACCCCAGGGAAACCCCAAGACAGGGGTTTTGACAAAACTTGTGGGGTGACGCGGGGCGGAAATGTCAGGGATGGCACCACTCCGTGGATGTTAAAACCCCGTCCCCTCATCCCTCAGGGATTCACCCCCGGTCCTTCTGCATGTAGGGAAAAGATGCCAGTTTTGGACACTCAAGAGTCCAGGGGGAGAAAGGACACAACACTTCCCCCCCCAGTCTTCACCTCCCCAGCCCTAAAGGGGTGAGAGAGGGGCCATAGGGTGTCCAGACCCCTAACGACGCCTCCGCGGACCTTTCCAAGCGCTCACCCTTGACTTTGCCGAAGGTGCCTACGCCCAGCGTGTCCCCCAAGATGTAGTGCCCGATCTTCACCCGCCCGTGCTCATGTTTCTGTTTATCCGCCGCCGCCATCTTGCGCCAAGTGCCGAGCCTGCGCACAAGGGAGCGAGGAAAGCGGCGGCGGCGGCGGCTCTCCTCCCGCCCTTGCCCGGGGCCTGAGGCGAAAGCCCGAGCGGTGGAGGCGGAGATGGGCGAGGCGGGAGCGGGGTGTGTGTGTATGTGTACGACCCCAGAAGGGGGGAAAAACAGGCCCGCCTGGAGCGAACCTGCCTCCTGATTGCTGTTGCAACGGGACTGCTCGGGTTTTACTTTTTTTTTTCCTCTCGGAGGCAGACGGGAGAGAAGGAGGGATTCCTCACCCCCTTTTCTAGAGCTGAAGGATATTGACTATAAGTAGAGATCATAAAGATATTTATTTTAATTTACTTCTTCCTGCATGCGTACATCCACATGTTCTTCCTCGCCTTTATTATGGAAAGGCCTGTGGCCAAAGCGGGGCAATGCGTGCATCCTGAATGTCTGAAGAGCAGGATTCCGAACAGCACGTTTTCCAAGGAACCCGTGGCTTCCTAGCAGCCAGGGTGCAGTTATCGTCATTGCTCCGATGGGCAAGTAATCAGGTGCATTGCCAACAGATCGAGAAACGGATACGGAAAGATTCTATAGATCCACCTATCGATTAGTGCTGACATTGTATTTTTATAAATATTTGCTATTTTCAAAGGGCAAAAGCAAAGAATGCTTCCCTTCTTATTTAAGATTGATGGGGGAATGGCATAAAACCTGAAAAAGATGGCCTTTAAAAGTAATATTTGAAAATAACTACAGTAGATATTCTTTGGTGCACACAGGGGTTAATTATTACACCAAAAGATATGACCTAACTAACACATTACTTGTTACTAGGTAACTGGTATTGTAACTAGTTATTTCCAAACTAGTGATTTTTCAAGTGATGAAAAATGCCTCATCATTTAAAAAATTCAACAATGAAATTGAAAAATTTCTACCCAATGCCTGCCAGGGCTGCAAAATTTATGCACACTTAGTTGGCAAAATCTTTAAAAATATTTGAAAGAAGGTCAGCCTTCTTTATGGTCCACCTCTCACTTCCATATACTGTATTGCTACAGGAAAAACTATAGCTTTGACTATGCGGACTTTTGTTGGCAAGGTGATGTCTCTGCTTTTTAAGATGCTGTCTAGGTTTGTCATTGCTTTCCTCCCAAGAAACCGGCATCTTTTAATTTTGTGGCTGCTGTCACCATCTGCAGTGATCAGGAAGCCCAAGAAAGTAAAATCTGTTACTGCCTCCATTAAGAGGTTCTTTAATTCCTCCTCACTTTCTGCCATCAGAGTGGTATTATCTGCATATTTGACGCTGTTGATATTTCTTCCGGCAGTCTTAATTCCGGCTTGGGATTCATCCAGTCCTGCCTTTCGCATGATGTATTCTGCATATAAATTAAATAAGCAGGGAGATAATATACAGCCTTGTCATACTCCTTTCCCAATTTTGAACCAATCAATTGTTTCATATCCAGTTCTGACTGTTGCTTCCTGTCCCACATATAGATCAAACAAATACCATACAAAAAGCATAAGCAACACCAAAACACATTCAAAGCAGTAAATTAGTCCAGACATGGTACTGGATTGGAGAAGATTTGGGGACAGAAGTAGTATAAGGGAGAGAATGCCCTGATTGGGCAAAAACTAGAATGACAAATCATAGCATAATTAGAGTGGCCCTTTAGTCTAACTGATGGGGGAGGGAAATGCTGGGAAAGAATTAATAGACTAGGGTCAAAAGTGGGTATGCTTTTTGCTTTAGCTCTTTAAAAAATCTCTTTAAAAAGATATAATGAAGGAGTTGCAGACACTATAACAAAACTCATGGAATTTAGATTTAACTTTAACTGGCCTCTAGGATTGCTAGAAACAAGGACAGCCATACAAGGCAATAAACTATGAATCTGTTTTGAAAAATATAATACCCTTTTAAGGGAAATCTACCTCTATCCAGTGCAAAACCGACAGCTTCCTTTGCAAGGAGCGATCTTAGGTAGTTTTTTGCATTGTCAAAGGCGAAGGTTATTTTAGAGGGTGGATTGGATAAAGCAAGTTAATGGAAATCAATCTGGATGAACCCTCAAAGATTAAAGTCCCAGTCTGTCAAGTCACTCTGATGTATGATCACCCTATGAAATAGCCATTGCCAAAATGTTCTGACCTCAACTGCCTTCCTTGGCTCTTGCAAACTCAAGGCTGTGGTTTCCTTTAGGGAATCAATCCATTTCATGTTTGGTCTTCTTCTCTTTTCTTACTGCTTTCAACCCTTCCTAGCATTATTATCATTTACAGAAAATCTTGCCTTCTCATGATGTCCCTGAAATAGGACAGCCTCGGTTTCAACATTTTTGCCTCCAGAGATAGTTCAGGTTTGATTAATTTAGGATTGATTTGTTTGTCTTTCTCACAACCCAGGCATCTGCAAAGCTCTCCTCCAGCACCACATTTCGAATGAATGAGTTTTCTTTCCTGGCCAGCTTTATGTGATTATAAATAGTACAAGAGTGTGGACAATCTTGGTCTTCAGGGCACATCCTCACACTTGATTATTTTTTCTAGTTCTTTTATTGCTGCCCTTCCAGTTCTTCGCCTTCTTCTGATTTCCTGGCTGCTGTCTCCATGTACGAGAGAGAATCCCAGTCTAGGTGGCATGATATGATCTTCTACCACTGCAGAAAGTCCAAGTACTGGAACAGCAAAAGAAGACACCCACATTTTACAAAATGCAGATGTTATCTTGTTAGCCAGAAAGCACATTTCAGAATCCATTTTCTGGTGATGTCATTATTACGCCACCCAAGACCAGGTTATGAAACCCATGTCTGAATACCTCTGCCATTCTTCAATTTCTTTCTTTCTTTGATACCACTGGCAAAGAGATTCCAACAGGGAAAGAGCTGCAAATGAAGAAGGAAGCCTGCCTGACTCACCACACTTTTTCCAGCACATGCCTGCAATTTCAGAATGGGCACAAATTGTATTCTTTGCCTAGTTACTCAGAAGTAAGTCCTTATGAATTAAACAAGATATGCTGACAGGGTGTGGTTAAGATTATAGCATTCCCCAGGCACCATATGGGATCCAGAAATAACATTTTGAGGGTGTGACTATAAATTGTATTCTTTGCCTAGTTACTCAGAAGTAAGTCCTTATGAATTAAACAAGATATGCTGGCAGGGTGTGGTTAGGATTATAGTCATGATTTTAAAAAAAATCATGTCAAAGCATTCCCCAGGCACCATATGGGATACAGAAATAACATTTTGAGGGTGTGACTACATTGGAAAGCCAAAGCAGAGCAATTGGCTTGGCTGTGATTTGTTTCCCCTGTACTACATTTGAAATCTCAGTCAGTGCTTACACGGGTTGCAGATTGATTCTGGTGTTCACCATTCAAACTGGATGCAATGTGATTTGCATTTCAGCCCACAGCCCCCCCATTTCTTCCTCCTTTCCTCCCTCTTGTACCACCTTTGCCAATCCTTCCTTCCTCTGATCCTAACCTTGTCAACCTGATGGTTTAAAAAATAGAAGATCCCTATGGTGGGGATGAGAAGATCCCTATGGTAGTGGGGGGGGGGGAAGCTGTTTGGGGCAAAACCAACTGAACCAAAATCAACCTTTGCATTATGTGATCAGTAAAAAAAAAATACTTCACCTGTTTTATAAAACACAACTAAACGACTAAACACACACACATGGTGGGTGGGGGAGCTGTGTTTGGAGCAAAACCAACTGAACCAATTAAAACCAACCTTTGCATGTGATCAGTAAAAAAAAACACTTCACCTGTTTTATAAAGCAGAGCAAATCTGCAGTATTTGACCATGTACTGTAGTCATAGCCTGAAAGGTACTACAGTATTTAGTGGGTAGATGCTGTTGTTTGGCTTTCCTTGGATCCTTTATTTTAATCCAGTTGCTTTCATCCACTCATGCCCAAAGCCAACTAGCACTTGTTCAATGGCATTCACTTGCATACAGTTCCTTACTAAGGAATCATAGTTGTTGGCACTGTTGTCACAACTAACCAGCAGCAACATTCCCTCATTACGATGATCAATGAAGGCCCTTGGAACTACAGAAAAAATTCAAACGTACAAACCTGACACATATTGGCTGTGGCTGAAATCTTGCTGCATGTCCGTAATGTAAAGGCATGGAAGTGATAGGAAAAGACTCGTGGGGAGAGGTAGCACACATCCATCCCAAATGATCATTTGTGCGACCACAACGTGAACAGCAAACCCACACAAGCAAGTGTGCAAATGTGTTGTGAATGGTGTGACTGTTGCACAGCTACAATGCCAGCTGTGCAACCGTGGCATGAACCATGCAACTGATTACCCACTGCTGGCTGACTGGGCATAAGGAATGGAAGATTTCCACAGGCCTATCTTTACACCACTTGAACAGGATTTCAACCATCAAGTCAGACTACTGACATTTGTAGACTCATTGCCTCTTCCCAGCCTAGCGCTTAACAATGTCTTAAAACAAAAATCTTCTCCAGCATTGCTAACTGGACCTTAACAGTGAACATCAGTAACTGGGCCTGAAACCTTCTGTATGAGCACATGGGCAACTATCTTACAGCAGGCCAGGCCATTACTGTATCTTGACCATGTTGTCTTCTCTGGCCAGTCCTGACTCCCTAGTTTCAGGTAGTGTCCTAGGCTTCAGAACTAGGGATTCAACCTGAAGCCTTCAGTATGCAGCCTTGCATTTTGCAAGGCAGGTATTTAGTGCTCAGCTGGGGGGTTTCCCCCTCAACAGTGAAATCAACCTTAACTTTTGTATGTCTGGTCAACACCACAGTATCCAAGGCAATAAAAGGAGGGCAAAGAAAAAGAACCCAGATTACACACTTCACAGAGCAGCTGTGACCAATAAACCATAGCAAATTAAAGTGTGTATGTATATTCTGCTGCCATTCTGTCTACTCAAGCTGTGCTTCAATGACCAGAGAGCACCAGGAGACTGTGCTTTGAGAACACTGGTCAAAAGAATAGTTTTGCATATTCATTATCTGGTACAAGGGGAGAATACACAACCCAGTACCTTTTGCTCCTGTTGCTTTTAAGGTTTTTAACCCAGACTTGCTGAAAGTGCAAAATCCCAGTTATGCTGAAAGCAAAGTCTGCTCACACTTGCAGTGAACATTAACCACAGGGGTGACTTAAATTTGTAAACACCAGGAAATATTGAAGTACTGTTAATTGTATTTCATGTCAACTACAGGAATACTATGAATCTGTTTAACAAACTTGAGTAATCCCAAATTTATTGTTTTATTACAGTGATGTTTTCCCTCCAATAAGCTTTCAAGGTAGTGTAAATGGCACTCCTCTTCCATTATAAATATATCTCAACAAAGTAATTTGGTATTAGCTACAAATGCCTTTTTTCTTTTTTGCTCCAACACTAAGTGACCTCTTTCTGGCTGTTGCTATGGTCAAATGTGTATTCACAGCAGTGAGTCTGTTAAGCAATGTTTGTAAAGGTCTTGTCATTTCGCTCTTCAGCCACATACCAGATTTTTGTCAGAACATGGAACAGACTGGTAATAGAATGTATTTTGCTGCTTTGTATTAAGCACTAAAAGCCCATCTGGTATCTCTGAAAAGACCTGAGTGATCTCAATGCCAGTGTCAAGCAATCTTGCATTTTGCAATTATTCCTATTTCAAAAACTTGCTTGGACATCCTTTCTTACTTCAACATTTCTAACCACAGTCCTTTCCCCCAATACAGTGGACCCTTGACTTACAGACGGCTTGACTTACAGACTTCTCTGGCCGCAAAATTTAGGTTTGACTTGCAGACTGAGATTTGACTTACAGACCAGAAAAAAACCAAAATGGAACAAAAACGGCCTGTTACGGGATTAATCGGTTTTCAATGCACTGTAGGTCAATGGAGACTTGACTTACAGACTTTTTGACTTGAGAACTGCCTGCCAATACGGATTAAGTTCTCAAGTCAAGACCCCACTGTATTGCTTTGTAAATAAGTGAATCCACATACTGTTGTACAAGTCTGAGATCAGCATACGTCACCTAACAGTCCATTTTTATGATCCCCAATTCTCTTCAAAATTATTTTCACAACTAGCTCAGAAAACGCCACTAAATTTCTATCCCACTCTTCTTTAAAGAAACTCAGGGAAATATACTCCCATGGACACTATACTATGCATATTCTTCAGACAGCCCCAAGGATACAAAATGAACAGGTGTTCAGCCAGTGCCTCACATCAAACCCTAACACATGCTCACTATATTGTATCAGGGCAGGGATCTGCAGTTTTCAAATGATAGGAGAGTCCACCTAATTTGTCTACTTGGAAGCAAGAGTTCATGCCATAAATAGGGACAAAACCCAGACTACACTATGAAGCATTTGCCACCCTAAGCAAAATAGCTTAGTCATATAGTTAGACTACCCTGTTCCCCCCAAAATAAGACCTAACCTGAAAATAAGCCTTAGTATGATTTTTCAGGATGCTTGTAATAAGCCCTAGTTAAGTGAAACCCCCCCTCCACCAGTGTGCAGCAACCAGAAGACATGACTGTATTTGAATAAATGTTGATTGTTCTACATGAAAAAAAAACTCTGATAATAAGTCCTAATGCATTTTTGGAACAAAAATTAATATAAGACCCTATCGTATTTTAGGGGAAACACGGTAGTTACCTTGCAGAAAATTTCTATCTGGACATTGCATACAATGTTTTCCTCCTAGAACTGGCAGTGTGGGCATCATATAAAAGCAAATATAATAAACTTTATTCTAGTTCCAGTGTGTTAGCAACTTCAGCAGTGCACTAAAGCAAAGTTATATTTTACTCAGTATAAACTTCCAGATATACTTTTGAAAGGAAAAAAAAATCAACTTACGAATTTTATTAATTTTTAATTAAAAAGGTTATAATCCTACTGCACTAAATCTGACTATTGTTGCACTGATATTATTTATTTATTTATTTATTTATTGGACTTATATACCGCCCCATAGCGCTACAAGCACTCTCCGGGCGGTTTACAATTTTTAATTATACAGGCTACACATTGCCCCCCCAGCAAGCTGGGTACTCATTTTACCGACCTCGGAAGGACGGAAGGCTGAGTCAACCTTGAGCCGGCTACCTGGGATTTGAACCCCAGGTCGTGAGCACAGTTTCAGCTGCAGTACAGCGTTTTAACCACTAAGGTAGCTGCTCCTAGTAACCCATACTACAATGATTGTTCAGGATGATTCTGCCTGCTTTAAGAGCCTGCCTATGTGAACTCTGCTCCAGATGCAAAAACTTCAGACAGCTTAACAAATCTATCAAAGACCTTGATTAGAGATGGGATATTTGCATTAGCCTCCTGGGGAGACAAATATGAATATTGCCACGAGTGGCCCTTTGGACCCACCCAGCCCACTTACTGCTTGCACTGCACCTATCATAGAAGTAGCTCAACTGGCGCTTTACCACCTCCCTGCACTGCTGACTACTCAGCAGCTGAGCAAGACTTGCCATTCCGCCTCCTCACCCGAGTGGTCAGCGCAAGGAGACAGGGAGGCATCAGTAGAGCTACTTCTGTGAGTGGCACAGCGCAAATGACAATGGCCCCACGAGCAGTAAGTGGAGTGGCTGGTTCTGGGGGGGGGGTCCAAAGGGCCTGGCCACTTGTGGTGGGAATGTTTGTATTTATCTTCCCCAAGAGAAGAATACAAATAATGCATCTCTAACTCAATGTATATTATGCCATGACTTGAGATTAATTTATAATGCAACATCAGAAATAGTCAACCCCACCCACCATACCTAATACAGGTCAACAACAAAATAAAGTATAGCAGTGTTACCTATATACATTCTTCCATTCAACAGCAATAAAAATGAAACAAATTCTATAGCAAAAAAAAAAAAAAAAAAAAACAAAAAAAAAAAACTACTACTTAAGGGTACCGCAGAACCTTAGTACAGTATTTACTAAGTATTTATTTGGCATCTGCAGCTGAGCTTTAATTGAACCTATACATTAGGAAAGCTGCAATGCTAGGCAGTATGGCAGCACTCCAAAGTATTCATGGAACCACATTTTGGTACTAAACCAGGACTGCTTCAGTAAAAATGTGTTGCTGATAATTGCCTTGATGGTATTATTACATATGTGAATGCATAAACTTAGAGATGAACACCCTGTGGAGGGAAAAACCCTTTATTTTTTTGACTGAGTCTGTCATGATCTTTAATTCTGATTTAACTGGACCGAGGCGTGTCCAACTGTACCACACTTCCCAAGGGAAGCTTTATCTAACAAGTTACATTTTAAGAGATGTGGCTTTGTTTTTCAAGTTTTATAGATTTCCCCAAATTTCAGCTCAAGCTTTTCCTCAGGAACAGTCTGAATAATCAAACTTGGGATAAAGGATTCAATTATGTCGAACACCAGACAATGAATCATATATAAAGATGACAAATTTTCTCCATGGTTCAGGCCGTTTATTTTCAACAGGTATTTGAGTCCTTAAGATGAACTGGAAGCTGCAACTGCAGCTCTCTTGGGCTTTGGTGCTGTTCCCTCACGGAATCCATTCCTGTATATTTAAGACAAAGAAAAGTCAGAATTCTCTGCAAGTGAAGACTGCAATTTACTTAACTGAAGTATTGCCAGCTTATCTCAGTAACAACACTAAATCACTGATAAACTCAGATGTTCAGACTTTTTTTGAGGAACATCACTGATAAGCTGATACAATCCACACAATTTTTTGCTTTACCCACACTACATTATCTTAACTGTATCTCAAATACTACCCACTTTAAGGTGCTATTTTATAAACAATTGCAAATAACATCTGTCTTTCCACCTCCCCATGTACTCAGAGTACCATTTAATCTAGCGCTGATAAAGCAAGACACTCCATAGTTAGATGTAATTTTCCCAAATTATAAACGTGGCTTACTCGATCATTTTACATTTTCTTACCATGGCAGTATGGGAAGCAATACATCAATGAAAAACAAAAATTTATATATAACCAAATATATCATAATCATGGTGTGGAAAAGAGGATCACTGGATTACTTCTGTGAGCTGTTGTAATTACTTTGATCATTAAGGATATCATGAACATGATTAGTCAGGAACTGGTTGAGCATTTAAAATTTAGCTGAAATGGGTTGATCCAAACACTTAGAAGGAATTAGCACAAAACCCACTTTGTTTCTCAGGCAACTAGTGGAATATTTCTCATATCTAAAGTTAACTGGCCGTGTACTACTGCCATTGGCAAGGAATGTGAAAAAACATCTTGCCAACGGAGAGATTCTCAGTGGCACTGACTACCTCTGCAAGGTAAGGCATCTCAAGGGTGCTCCAATACCCTTGGGGTGAGATGCCAGACTGGAAGAGGGTATTCAATCCGCAGTCTGTTCAAAATACTGTCTAGAACCCCTGCTTCTGTGTGCAACTAGTGTCTTTTACCCTTTGTGAAGTTACACATACAAACAGCAACTGTAAAAGGATGATCAGTCATAAAGATACCAACAGCCTATTTAATGCTACCAGATTTATTAGTCTACACAGCAACCCATTCAATGTTATGATATTTATTAGTCTGTTGGCTCATTTCTCCGTTTTGCACATTTTCCAGAAATGCACAAAGGGCGGTCTCAAAATGCGGACAAACTCTCCTAAACAAATAAACTGAAATGATCCTGTGGTGAGGAAACATACGTATAGATGAATGTCTTGTTTAATAAGACAGAGTAGACCATTGGTCTAGATGGGCGGGGCACAAATCAAATAAATAAATGAATAAACAAGAATAAATTAAATGAATTTATCTCTATTTTTGGTGTATAACTGCGGTTCTAACCATTTGTTCATATTTTATTTACAGATATAGATATATAAATCCATATACTGTATATAGATATAATGTAAATAGATAGATATAGAGATCCATTGGTCTATACAGAGATATATAGATATAGATATATAGATAGTCTATTTTGAAAAAACAGAAGTGACAGTACAACAGTAAAAGTTAACTTCTTACTGGCACAGAAAAGATATTGTAACAACAGTATCAATATACTAATACAGACATCAATGTATGTTTCCAATGCATTCGAGCTGACTCTTTTTATAACATTAAAATTATACTACTGTACCTGAATCTACGGTAGACCTTTTTCAGATACCTCATACGGCCAGTCCCAGTAGTATTGCGCCTCTTAGCCTTAGCACTCCAGTTATCTAGAACAGAAATGAAGAATTCTATAAGGCCATTTGCCAAAGTTGATAGCATAGAATCTACATTCATTTTATTTATTAGATTTGTATCCTGCCTTTCTTTGGAAGAGATATAGAATAGTAGATGCTCCCTCCTCATGTTGCCCATGTTTATCACCACGGCACAGGTTGACTAAGAAATAGTGCCTAACTCAAGATCACTGCAGCAAGTTATGTCTGTGAATATGAACCTGTATCTGTTCAGCTCTAACCAATACACCACATCAATATGTTTAGAAGGCCAATGGGGCAAATATTAACGGCAAGCTCAGTATAAAAATAAGTGATGTGCATTCTTTTGGAGTGGCAACCCTCACGTTTAGAAGGCCAATGGGGCAAATATTAACAGCAAGCCCAGTATAAAAATAAATGTGCATTTTTTTAGAGTGGCAACCCAGTAGTGATACTGCTCCTTTGAAACTCTGTGTAGATAAGGTCAAGTCCCTACTTCTCTGAAAATACTCATTTTGAGACAATGGAAATGTCAGTGAATTGAGGATTACTAGAGGTGGAGCCTACCTGGACAAGATTGATATGTATAGTGAAAAATACATATCATGGTAAATAGCAAGCAAGAGGACACATGAAGATCCCACAATATTTTCTCAGCAGTGACTCCAATTCTGATTTAAATGTTCATTTAAATCAAATCCACCCTACTACAAAATAATACACACCTTTCCCTATAAAATAATAGTCCATTAATTTTCTCTAACAGGTCTTCACTCTGTATTCCCCCTTCTAAATAAAGCACCATGCGTCCTGAAAGCAATAAAATATAACAAGACCGGGCAACTATGCATCAAAATACCCCTTTACTTTGGAATATTCTACTTACACTTTCTCTTGCGCTTAGCAGGATATCCACATTTTCCACAGGTGGACTTCTGGAGATGGTAAGCCTTAGACCCGCATCGACGGCACAAAGTGTGCGTCTTATTGCGACGCTTGCCGAAGGATGATGTTCCCTTAGTCTGAAATGTATTTAGAGAACAGTTGATGCAACTACTGCCATTACTTTGGTTTTATATTACCACTTACTAGATCCACACAGTTTTTAATCTTACTCACTCTGATGAAGCACCACAAGTAACTGTGGACTTTTAGACAAAATGTATACTGTGCACAATGTCCTTGTTGTGATTCTCAAGGGCATACACGCTTGTTGGCTTAATATATGCATGCATAAGTGATAGGAGTCAAAGACACTTTGCTTACCAGCAGCTACAGGATTTGAGTCAATAAGAAAGTTTTAACATCAAACTGGTGCAGTACAGTGATCAAGAGACATATCCAAAGTTTTATTTTAATTTTCACACTGGCACACTTTACTTACCACCATTTTCTTGGCTTTGGTAACTGCAAAATGGACAATGCCACCCAATGTCACAAGGCCTATTATAAGGATTACTGGAAAGCATATGATGGCAAGAATCCAGTTCAACAATTATTCCAGTGTAAACCCATCAGCACAAGTTTAAGTGGCAAGCTGGTAGTTAAGAAGTTGATATTTGCATTTCTTGCTGTGCACCAAATTGCATGACAGGAAAGACAACTTCAGTATTCTTAATTAGCAGCAATTTCCTACTGAAATTTGTCAATGGATTTAATGCCACTGGGCATAAATAACAGAATTATGACCATGGAGTTTTTTTTAAAAAAAATTCCTTTAAAATACACTTCATAAATGTTTTAAGACCCTGAACCTTTCTTGACCTAAGAAAAAAAGAAACAAAATATTCCCCTCTAGTGGTCGAAGGCAGAATAGCAGCTTCCCATTAGTTTCTATGGACGGAAAAGAGCAGATACGGATCAAATGGTTTTCAATGCATTCCTATGGGAAATGCAGATTTGACCTGAGAACTTTTTGACTTGAGAACCGCCTTCCAATACGGATTAAGTTCTCAAGTCAAGACCCCACTGTACTGGAAAGCATATGATGGCAAGAATCCAGTTCAACAATTATTCCAGTGTAAACCCATCAGCACAAATTTAAGTGGCAAGCTGGTAGTTAAGAAGTTGATATTTGCATTTCTTGCTGTGCACGAAATTGCATGACAGGAAAGACAACTCTAGTACAGTATTCTTAATTAGCAGCAATTTCCTACTGAAATTTGTCAATGGATTTAATGCCACTGGGCATAAATAACAGAATTATGACCATGGAGGTTTTTTTTAAAAAATTCCCTTAAAATACACTTTATAAATGTTTTAAGATACTTCATACATCATTTATCTAACACAGCATGTCAATTACGAAGCTGTTTTCTTGTTCCACAGAATGCCTGAGGTTACAATAACATAACAGTGTGTCTGTGGGAATCCTCACTTTATTTGCAACTAGAAATTTTAGTTTTAAAATTTCTGGAAATTTTGAAGCAATATAAAATAGCTTTGGAAAAAAACCCAGAAAAAATGGGAGGGGGACCACAACGTCCCCAGTTTTTTTCCAAAGCTATTTTATAGGGCTTCAACATTTTCAGAAATGTGTACAAGTCTAGCTTGGACTTTATCTTGTCTAGAGATGGGAAGGCCTGGAAAAAAACTGGAAAAATTGGGGAAAACCTATTTTTCCCGAAAGCCATTTTATATGGATTCAAAATTTCCAGAAATGTTACAGCTCTAGTCTCACCATTAAAGAAAAGATCTCTCTTAATATGTTTCCTTTTTCATTATTTCAAGCAGCAAGCAAATGTATTAGTGGACTGGTGTAGTGGCCCTGTGAAGACTTTTTAACGGAGGTGTCGCATAAAATTATACTTTTTATGATGGAACTAGATAAAAGTAATCCACAACCATGATGGAAAAATGAAATGTCACTAAAGTAAATAGAATAAATTAAATAGAATCAATGCCTCTGAATATTACATGGTAGGAAGCAACAGGTGAGCACTGTGCCTGGTTGAACACTATGGGCAACTGGATGGAGAATTCAGCTCTTTCACCTAAGCCAGCATGGCTTTTTTTATGTTTACAACTAGCAATGCCACTTCTACCATTTTAAACAGCAGAATCTGTGAATGCAAACCATTACCCTTTATGCTCTAACAACTTCTGTGTTGTAACAGATACACTGATATAAACTTAAGAAATATAATTTTATATGTTTTCTTGGAACAAGTGGTATCGCAATGAGGCTTACTGCTAAGTAAAGTATGTAAAGCATTTTTTTCAATATTCAAACATTTCATTGAAACTGTTATTCATTTTAAATTGCAGACTATATTTACCATAACCGACTAAGGTAAATTTACAGATTAAAGAGAAACCACCTGGATTACCGAAGAAAACACTAATGTACCTATAGAGATTTAAAAGATCCATTTAGACAGGCATGCTTCATTCTGAGTGTGCCATTTTATGCCTATTTCCAAACACCAACAACATGCGGGGTTATTCTCAAACTAGGAGCCACAGGATAGCCTTCCTCAACTTCCTATCTCCAGATGTTTTGAATGGCACAACTAGCATAATCTATGGTCACAACTAAAAACTGTGTGGATCTAGTAAGTGGTAATATAAAACTAAAGTAATGGCAGTAGTTGCATCATCTGTTCTCTAAATACATTTCAGACTAAGGGAACATCATCCTTCGGCAAGCGTCGCAATAAGACGCACACTTTGTGCCGTCGATGCGGGTCTAAGGCTTACCATCTCCAGAAGTCCACCTGTGGAAAATGTGGATATCCTGCTAAGCGCAAGAGAAAGTGTAAGTAGAATATTCCAAAGTAAAGGGGTATTTTGATGCATAGTTGCCCGGTCTTGTTATATTTTATTGCTTTCAGGATGCATGGTGCTTTATTTAGAAGGGGGAATACAGAGTGAAGACCTGTTAGAGAAAATTAATGGATATTTTTAATATTTTTAATTTAGCCGCACCATTGCCAGTGGCTTCTGGGCGGCGTACAACATTAAAACTTAAAAACATTAAAAACATTTTAAAAGACAATATAAAATAGCATATATTAAAATAATTCTTAAAACATTAACATTAATAAGTCCTGCTGCTCAATGCCTGTACACTGGGAAAAGTTCTAAAGATAATTAGAAGGTAGTAGAAAAAGAAGAAGAGTTGACGTGATATGGATTGACTAAAAAAATTGTACCCTGGTTTGTAAGACCTTTGGAGGCCGGTTGATGACAAGACCGGTGGGGGGTGGTGGATGGGGACAAAGCCATGTAGTTAAAAGATAAAAATGCAGGAGTAGGTGATACCTTTATTAAATCACTAAAAAATCAATCAAGCTTTTGTAGTTCATGTCCATTTCTTCAGTCCATGCACTGAGATGTTGTGGATAGTGCAGAGAAATGATAGATGAGTGTCCCAGAGCCAGTTCTGCTTCTTGGAAGTAAATTAGCAAAAATGCAGACAGCGGTGGAGGTGTGGTTATCAGACTACACCCCAGGTATCTGTTGGTTGGATGTTACCTCAGCTCTTCAAAG